GTCACACCGAATGCGAAACACAGACACAGATACAGATACAGATACAGATACCGTTGAAAACAGACACAGCTGCAAACCGTGGCAATAACAAAAAGGCAACCACGAGCGGCGCGTGTGTTTGTTTTTATTATTGTTTGCCTATCATTATCGTGATCATTATCATCGGCATTGAGGGGACTGAAACCTTGTCTGTTTAATTTATGTTTGAATTAACTCTACTGCGAACAGCAGCAAAAATAATTCGCTAATGTAACCAACAAATTAGCTAAAACACCAACAGACTAAAATGTTGAAGAATGAGTAAGTCGACTAATAGATATTCTAAAAATCAGTTCCTATAAAAGGTTTTGGTAAATGAAAATGTAATATTAAAGTTACGAACTAAGTTATTAAGCTAGAAGGGAGAACTTAAATCTGGGGGTCTTAAATTATATGCAATATTTATTGCAAGGGTTGCCAGAAAAACCTCAACATTTGTATAGCGTTATTAGCTTTAAGAAAGTAAAAAGAGAGAGAGAGAGAGAGAGAGAGAGAGGAAAAGATAAGGCAAATAATAAAGTAAGGGGTAATAATGTTTATATATTTTCCCAACAATGTTGCCCGACTTAATAAATGTTAGTAATTTGTTACACAGACCAAATCGAAATACCCATACTGAAATAATTATAGCGTATTGACAATTATCAATGACTGTGCAGTGTCTGGGTTCCCTGCTACCTCCTCCGTATATTCTCATAACAAAATTGGCGCACGTGTGACACTTAATGGCCGACGACCAGCACAATGAACAGTCTATGTTCGCAGTGCAGCTCGAGTGAGAGGGAGATGGATATGGATATGGGCAAGTGGGACGTGGGATGTGGGACGAGCACCCTTAACTTAGTTGCCCCCCAATGACTCTCACTCGCTCGCACACACACACACACACACACACACACACACACACACCACACACACACACACACACACACACACACACACACACAGAGACTCACACACATTAGGAAACAGCACGCGCATGTGGCAATTTACAGTTACATACGTTGGCGTGTGACTCGCATTATTGGGTCAACAATTAGCTCGACTGGTTATCGTTGCTGTTGTTGTATTTATCGGGGCTACTGCTGTTAATAAGTATGTGTGCATGTGCCCAATTATGTGCCACTGTGTTAATGGCCCCGAGTATCGTCATCATTTGGTGGTAATAATAAAATAAAACACAACTCTTCTAAAGCGTATCATCAGAAAAGTACATATCTAAGGAGTAATTGCCCTGCATTTAGGCCGTATAAATAATATTTATGCGTGTTAAAAAATTACGCATACTCCGGGGTTTTACCAGGTAAGTTCAATGTGTCGCGGCTCATACATGAGTCAGCTTTAAAATTATTTATAAACAAAAAAAAAAAAAACTATGTCAAACGAATAACCACAAAAGGTATAAAAGGGCATTTAATGTGCTATCGTAAAAAAATATGAATTTATTTAATGAGAACAGACAGAGATAAAAACTTTTAACAAGTTTATTTCTTAATATTTTTCTGTTTTTATAAATCCAGCGCCAGTCGATTTCGCTTTACCAGACAGTTCACATTAATAACAAGTAAGAGTGCCGTAGTCGAGTGAGCTCGACTACTATTTACCCTGAACCCAGTTGTTAAATATATTATAGTTGTATTGGAAAAATTTCCCATTAAAAGTCTTGAACCAAAATGTGTGCAGGTCTGCAAGTGCGCTCTGGCGCCAAGCACGTGAATACTCATATATATATATATATATATATGTATATATATATATCTGTACATATATATATAAATCTGGATGAAATGTAGGAAATTGATCAATAATATGCGTATTTATATTCTGCATAAATTAGAATATTCTGCTTTTAAAATCTTAGCATTTATTGCTATCGGAAATTTAAGTGTATTGATAATCGATAAACGAAGGCAGTTATCGATAAAATAAAGCAAACCTGGTATTCGACAACCTATATTCCAAATTTTAATCTGCATGGTCATACATTCGGACGGGCGGACGGACGGACATGGCTATAACGATTCGGCTGTTGACCCTGATCAAGAATATATACACTTTACGGGGTCGGATATGCTTCCGTCTGCCTTTTACATACATTTGCACAAAACCATTATACACTTCTTACCCATTTTTAATGGGTTCAAGGTATAAAAACTCCTAACTTATTTTCATAGCAACACACGCTCTTTAAACTGATTAATTCGCTTCCCACTAAGCTTCGTAATATAACATAAAAAATGAATTAAAATAATATAGAAAAACAAATTAATTTGTGTCACTGAAAATAATCTGAAATTTTATTGTTATTGCTACCGTTTGTCAGACAACGTATTTACATTTTAATGACCCCCCCTTACAACCGTAACAAACATTTTAAAGCGGGCTCAATAACAAACACACTTACACACACACACATACACGCGCATACACACACAAATCATTCAAACACATGCCTAAACACAGATGATGCGATTGGACACACACGTGTGGGAGTCAAAGCCGACAAAAATAATAGAAAACCCAAAAGCTAAAACGAAAAACGAATTAATTTTTAGTTGCCTGCATAAATTAAAAAGAGCTCGTCATTCAATCACAGTTAGAAACGCGGTCGACTGCGACTGCGACTGCGACTCTGTCAGCGACGGCTTCGGTGACGGCGAGACCGAACTGGTGATAATTTCGTTGCCACGAGCTGCACAATGGCAGATAGATATATGGTGAGCAAGCACTCGTGTGAGAATGAATGCGATCGGTCGGGGTAGGGGAACGCAACACAAGCCATCGAATAGCGGCGACATGCGAGCAAGTAAAACAAAGCAAGACAAAATAAACAAAAAAAAAAAGACCCAGTAGAAAACCAAAAACATTCTAAAAGAGTGGGGAAAAAACACAACATGTACATGCTTTTGCAAAAGTTCTGCTGGGTTAAGTCACCAGCTCAATGATAGCCAGACACGCACGCACTCAACAGCAGCTCTTCTCACACGGTGTTAATGAATTTTTATGCTGCTGTCTACACGAGTGTATTGTATATATACAAATATATATATATATATATATATATATGTGTGTGTTGTTTAGTGTGTGTATGTGATTTCTGTGTTATTTGCCTTTGTTGTTCTTATTGATTTAACGGCGCACGTGTTGCGGCTGGGGTAGTCGAACTGGCAGCGCACCTCCCCCCAAATGTCTACACAATTTATAGCAGAGAGTCACTCGATTGCCGCGATTGTATTTCTCGTTGGTGTTATTTTTCGCTACTGTTTGTTTATATTGCTGAAGGGCTTTTCTTATAACGTATACAAGCGTGTATGTATGAATATATGTAAATACTATTTATTGTGTGTATGTATGCCTTTGGTTAAATTCAAAGTGCTCATGCGACACGCGTTCAAGCCGTAATTATAAATCTATTATTATTATTATTTATTATTACGCACGACAATAGGGTGTCATGTATGGGGTGGCAGCGATTTAAAAAAAAAAAGCAACAACTCATCAATCTGTACTCTTTTTAAGGAGTGTAGGAATAAATTAATATATAACATCCGGCTGGTGAGTTATTGCTAATTTTTATAAATATTACGAATACGAATACGAATACGGGCATTGAACTACACGTATCTTGTGATTGAGAAATCAAATAAAATTACAATTAAGGTTACTTTATGTACAATTATTGAAAGCGAAAATATTTGTGTTTTTTTTTTTAATAGAAATAATACTTGGAGTGAAATACAGTTCAAATTCTCTGTTTATTGAATATTCATTTAATACGTCAAAGATATAATATATTAAATTGATTGACTTGTGCATGTTTTGCTGGGCATTATATAGAATTCAGGTGATTAAATGAATGTGTAAAGCGGCGTATGGACAGAATCAAAGTCGAAGCCAAACAAAGGCATTCATTTACAAAACTTAAGTAAATAAACAGCTGTCACTCAGCGGGTTAAATGTGTTGTCAAAGTCACAGCTTGAATCGCATTTCTGCTGCACCAACGATAAATAAAAAAAAAAATATACAAAAAAAACAAACAAACAATATTCGCTGACTTTTCGTTCGAAATTGTTGTTTTTGTTTAAATTTATCTGTGTTTTGAGGTTTTGGGCCAATCTAAAGGCTTTCATTGTGTGTGAACAGTAATATTCATTGATAACTCTTTAGGGGCCACCGAGGTAATTGACTCAAGGCTTAGTTTTAGGACTGCTCTTCAGGCAAATGTGGAGATACTAGTTATATGCATAGACGTATTTTTAGAATTATATAAGTACCATCTCGTCAAGTTCTATAAAAAACCGTTTAATTTCAGAAAAGAAAGTCAACTTTGTTCGATTCTTTTTTACAATTTACATTTCTTGAAGTCACCCGCAAAATGAAATAAAATGTATTTTTAGACCCAGCTGCGTTACGAAATGCATATTGCGCATACGCCGTGTGCGCCAGCTGCAGAATGCACTGAAGCAATATGGCAAAGGGCAGAGGGCAAAGATGATGCGTCAGCAGCCAGGAAACTAGAAGAGATGCCCCCCATACACACACACACACACAGACACACACACACATACGCCCCCGCGACATTCGTCCTTGAGAAGGTGAAGCACACAAATGCTTATTAGGGCCATGAAAAGAGAGGAGAACAGAAGAGAGAAGGCAGAGAATGCTGCACGCCAAAGACGGCAAATCGTTCTTTAATGCATGCTCAAAAAAACCCATACACAGACACACATCCGACAACATGATGATAGCACAGAGCCAGATAGATGGATAGCTAAGGTGAGACTGAGAGTGAAAGTGAGAGGTGCGAGACAAAAGCTCTCTGCAACATGGCTTGCTGCTCACAACATGCAATTTGAATAGCCGACACGTGTGGCGCTTAAGCAGTCCTTCATTTCTGTTTCATCTTTTTTTTTGTTTTTCTGTTTAATGTTAGAAGATTTATGGCGTAAACGAAACTCACCCGTTGGCTTTGCTTGAGGGAGTTTTTAGCAGGAATGTTTTGCGTTAATCGTTGTTTTTAGCTTAACAGCTGTTTGCCGCTGCTGCTTGCTTCTTTTTTATTTTGCTAGGCTGGTAATTTGTTGTAACCACACACTAACTCACACACGCACAGGCAAGACAGAGAGAGGGAGAGAGAAAGAGAGATAGGATGCCACAGCATAAGCACGTTTTATTTAATTTATAGCACGCTCATTCGAACTAATGAGCATTCCTTTTGTTTTCGCACGCTTTTAATCTATTCTATTTTGTAGCTCTTTTCAACAACAACAACAATAACGAATGCGACGCCAACTGCGACTGCGGCTGCGACTGCGACGTGTGTGCAACTATTGGACGGCGACGCTGCTGTTAACAACACGCGGGCAAACAGAACTTTCGCTTTCGTTACGCGTTAGACACGACCGCACCTAACACACACACACACACACACACGTTCCAATACACAGACACAGAGACAATGTTAGCAACTCTAACCCACCACACACATACACACACAGAGGCACAGAGGCAGACACGAAGTACGTAAATGTTGTGTGACTTTGAGTTCGCTTGCAGCGGGATGTAACGGAATTGTCTTTCTCTGACGAGGCGCATGGAACGACAGCGCAAAACTGAATGAAGCGGCGCTGCCAGCTGCGCGTCGCTTAAATGGCCGTTCGCAGCAGCAAATGCTCCACACCCGACACAAATGTCGAAAGTGTTTTCGCATGAGATTTAAAAATTACAACACGACAAACCAAATCTTCAAGAAAATATTATTAACACACTGAATTGTATTATTATTATTATATTGTAAACATCTGATTTTATTGCAATTTATACTATCAGAATAAAGTTACATATCTTCTACATATTACATATAACACTAATTTTCATCCACATATTCGATTGCATTGATTCTCAAACATTTCTTTACATTAACATAATCGCTACGCTTATCATCTAATTTCCTTAGCTATTTTCAATTTTTGCATTATCACCTTCCCAATTAATGCCGCAATGCGTACAGCTTATCAAGTAATGTCTTAAATTAATTGCCATAAGGACTGTGTGCACAAGTATGTGGACACGACCACGAACACGCAAGCAATAACCAATCAAAAAAACAACTATTTTTAAAATGTCAAGTCTAATCTGGGTAAATCGTTGACACACATTTCAGCTAAAAATACCCACGCATTTGTTTTTTGCTGCCTGGCAAAACCAACAAATGTGCCCAGCAACAAATGTTGATGCAACATTGTGGTGGACAACACGATATTGGTAAACATTATGTTCCCTAAATTTCTCGTTTAGCTCTCTCACTCTCGGGCTTTGTCTCTCTGCCCTTATCGCTCTCTTTTGCTTTCCCGCTCTTTAAGTCAATTTTGTCGCACGTGTCGGCAATTTTGTTACGGCCGATTGCTTTTTTTCTATGGTTTTCGTTTGTGTTTGTGTTTGTGCTCTGTGTGTTTGTATTTGTATTTGCGCTCTGTGCTGTGTGTGTGTGTGTGTTGTGTGTCTGTGTGTTGGTTGCTGTGAATATTTGGTTAGATATTTCGCGTTTGGTTCGATTTTTTCGTGAGTTGCGCGTGCTAATGAAAATGTAATTCAATGCCCTGTGCCAAAGGCGCACTCAGGTGATGCCAGTCAAACTAACGGTAAACGTAGACGCTTGCCGCTCGCCGTCTGATTTCCGGTTTGTTTTTTATATTTTGATAACTAATAAATAAACAAAAGCAGACAAAAGCGTTGCGAAAACAATACAAAACAAATTAACATAACATACGAGTTGTCTGGCAACAACAGTCATCAGCTGTCGCCCCCTCTTGCAACCTCCACATGCCCCGCACTCTATCTCTCTCTATCTCTCTCGCTCTCTCTCTCAGTCCCTCTGCCCACTCACTTTGTGTGATTTTTAATGGGCTCGTGGGTGATTTTTTGTTCTCTTCGCTTTAGACATTTTTCAGTTTCAATTGCCAACACGTGTGGAGAGCGGGAATATAATAGAAACGCGCAAATGGAGCAGAAGAAGAGGAGTGGAACGGGATGGGGGAGGGGAAGGCTGGCTGTGTGGAGATGCTCTTCAATCTCATTCGCCACTCCCCGAAATGGCGTCAAAGTTGCTGTAAAAGTTTTACGCGCCAGCGAAATGGAAAATTAACTTGCACCCGCTGACACTTGACGAGGGCGCACGGGGAGGGAGGCGCTCGAGGGGAGCATTTTGGACAGTGCGTTGTCTCCCAGTTGCGTCAATGCAAAACGCGTTATAAGCATACAACACCAGCAGCGTCCATAAAAAAATGTGTAATCAAACAGTGGCATTTTCATTTTTGCAAGGCGAATCAAACACGCGCCAGCCGCAAACAGCACACGTCACACCTCTCCCCAACCGCCAACCGCCAGCCCACTCCCCCTCCCCTTTACCTAACTCCCCGTGCCAGACGGTCAATGTCTTTTTTTCTGTTTGGGTTCTAAATCAAATAAAAACAGGAAAGTATCCATATTAGCCACAAAGTTAGCAGCAACGAAGCTCGAATGCTCTTTCAGAGTACCAGATATACACATGATTCAAGTAATTATATATCTATGGAAATATTTGTGAATTATTATCGAAATAAATTGCTTTGGAAATACATATTAGATATGTATGCAAAATATAATTCCTTAAGCACTTCAATGACAATGTTTATTGGAGAGAAATAGCTTTCTAAAATGTAACTCATTTCAAATTTCAAGTACATTTTGCATGCAAAAGAAATGTTGAATATATATTCAGATTTGTTCGGTGACCAACCGCATTAAGCCACTAATTAACCACTAAAGTTAGTGTAGCCCACCTATATGCAATAGAGATGACCGCGCATCGTGTTCTTTGCAGGGGAACGAAAAAGTTAAAAAGACCTATTTCTGTATAACTACAACTGATAGATATAGTAATAATGTTGTCAGTCAATCTATATTAATAGTTCATTTTTAATCAAAGAAAAAATAAATAAATATACACATATTTATCATGCTTATATTGATTTGATATAAATCATTTACTGTCTTATATTTAGTGACCAAATTTCCAAATTTGGCTGGACGGAGTGACTCGAAAAAACAATATCGAAACGTTTTTAACACTTGAGAATTACTCACTATAAAACACTTGGCGCCAGCTAATTAACTATTTAAATAAATAATTATATATTTTTCTCGTTTTGAGAAAAAGAAAATACCCAGACACGCACTCAACTCTATAATCTATAATATATAATATAATATGTTTGTGTATGCAAGTGTGTGAATCGCTTTTATTTTGGCGCTTGCCAAACTTATGTCAGCATTTTGGGCGAATTGCCAGCGATATGTGGTTATCATTAGATGTCCGGCAGATATATTTAGAAATGTCAGCGAGTCGCGCATGTAACAATAGCAATAACAATAATAATCAGAATAGAAATAAAACGACTTGTACTTGTATACCGGTTTTTTCTGGCATGTATGGCAGGTCTTATTTTTATTTCGATTCTTTTTATAACTTTTTGTTGGTTTATTGGTTGTTTTTTTTTTCTCAATTTGCTCAGCATTGCAGACACTTCTACACGCGCAATGCCAAGGCCCCGGAAATAAAATATTCAGGTGTATATTTGGAAAGTATTTTTGACTCATATACATACATATACATATATATATGAAATACGTGCACTGATAGCGCTAGCGTGATAGTGCAAAAAACAACAAGAAGCTAAGGAAAATCTACATCCGTGCTTGTTGACTCATAATCTCGACTAGGAGATAAAAATTGAAGTCGACGCATGTCAAGTAGATTCACCTTATAATATGCTTCAGTCAACAAAATTTGTGATTCTTATCCAATCTAAATTAAACTCTTACAATTGATCGACAATATATCTGTGTGTATAAAACATATTGGAAGACGTCAGCTTAATTTATTTTATCTTAAAGTCGGTTAGTTCAGACATGCAGACTTGGCTAGATGATGGCTATCCTGATCAAGCATATATACATACTATATGCGATCAGACATTCTTCTGCATGTTACATACTTTTGCACAGCTTTATTAAACGGGGTTTTCCCTTTTTATAGTGTTTAGGGTATAACAAGTAAAACTTTAAGTTTTTAAATTTTAATAGCGATCAGCCTTTGAAGGGCTGCAACTTATCTTGGCTGTTCGACAATGCTTTTCGAAGCTTAATGTCTCACATACAAAAGCTCTTTGCCATGGTCAAGAAAGCAGTAAACTGAAGCAGTGCTTTCAAGCAGTGCTTCTAAAGGCTGCAGTTCATTATACATAACGTATTTTCAATATGCATTTTTAAATTAGATGAGTAGAAAAAAATGTATAGTTAAAAGTATTCTGAGAATTGTATAACAATTTATTGTTCAATACTTCAGAAATTATTATCCTTTTGGGCACTTAGTGTGTACCACTCAACAATGCCTCTTCAGTTATTGTTCTTCAGTTAGAAATAATTTGATTTTGCTTATTTAGAAGAGTTATTCTATAAGAAAAAAACAACCATCAAATTAAAGACTGGGATTACCTTAATGTACTTTCAACTGAATAAATCAGGCTACTTTATTTTATGGCAAACTAAAAATTAGGTATATAATTTCTGAATTTTAAAAACTAATTTGATATATATAATTCTAATATTTCTGCAGGTTAATTGTGCTGTTGCCCAAACTGCGCAGAAAAATCAATTTGCAACATTTCAATAAGCGAATGCTAACTACTTGGAGGCCCGTTCCAGTTTCACCTCAGACTCCACTTCGGCAAATTGAGCCTTTGCCAACGACACCCAACAAACAACAAATAATGCCCAAAGCGAAAACTAAAACTGCAGCAAAAATCTTGAATACAAAACAAAAAATAACAAAAAAAAAAATTAAAAAAAAAAAAACTAATCAAAGCAGAACTCATTAAGCATAATAAAAAATTATGCTATTGTAATAAAATGGTTAAGCCGAAGCAAAAATCGCGCAGGCAATCGAATTAAACAGGCAATGGCCAAAGGCGCTGGCAAAGCGCTGCCAAACAAATTGCCGGGGAAATCCCAAAGAGCTTCAATAGTTGGGGCCGAGACCGACGACTAGGTTGCAAGTCAGTTTTCATCGATAGCAAATTTATTATGCAAAGCAGAAGCGGTAAAAGATCAAAGCGCAGCGATAGCAGATAACACGCTCAAACTCGATGAAGAGGCCAACAACGACGATGACGCTGACGCTGATGACGACGACGACGAAGCGAAGGCGGCCCTTTTTTTGCCCGCACAAATAGATTAGTTTCACATGGCATCGAGCCGGAGTTTTAGGGCGCCATATTGCACACTGGGCCCCGCTAGCCGCCAGCCGCCGGGCCGCCAGCAGAAGTTATGAAAAATTAATAATAATGTCGAATCGATTGATTTCAGCGAATGTAGCCGCAGCCGCAGCCGCAGCCGCAGCCACAGAAACAGCCGGCACCCAACACTAGGCTGCACCACTTGGCTGCACCACCTAGACGGCTGGTCGTCCTCCGTTTCGGATCGAATTGGCTTGGTCAAGTTTGGTTGCCCCCGGCGCCACTGGACCACAGAGCAGACTAGTCAACAACAGTCACCACTCAACAACAACTCTCTCTCTCTC